GCTTGGAGAACGCACAGGAACCATCCACTTGACCAGGTAATCGGCAGCATCAACCGCGGGGTAAGTACTCGTAACTCTCTTAGGGACACCGTAGGACACATGGCTTTTGTATCTCAAATTGAACCTACAACCATTTCCGAAGCAATAAACGATGAACATTGGACCTTGGCTATGCAAGAGGAGCTAAACCAATTCAAACGGAATGACGTTTGGGAATTGGTGCCAAGGCCCGATGATCGTACGATTATTGGTACGAAATGGGTGTTCCGTAACAAACTTGATGAAAATGGAATAATCACTAGAAACAAAGCTAGGCTCGTAGCTAAAGGCTACAATCAAGAAGAAGGCATTGATTTTGAAGAAACGTATGCACCTGTAGCACGTTTAGAAGCTATTCGTTTACTTCTTGCTTTTGCTTCGTCTATGGATTTTAAACATTATCAAATGGATGTTAAGAGTGCCTTCCTCAATGGTTTTATTCAAGAGGAAGTGTATGTTGACCAGCCCCCGGGGTTTGAGGACTTTGAGTTTCCCGATCACGTCTTCAAACTCAAGAAAGCGCTCTACGGTCTTAAACAAGCACCACGTGCTTGGTACGAACGTTTGAGTAAATTTATTTTGGATAGTGGTTTCCAAAGGGGAAAGGTAGCCACCACACTTTTCATCAAGAGTAAAAACAATAACATCCTTTTGGTTCAAGTTTATGTAGACGACATTATATTCGGTGCTACTAACGAGTCTTTGTGCAAGGAATTCTCAACGCTAATGACTAGCGAATTTGAAATGTCAATGATGGGCGAGCTCACATTCTTTTTGGGACTCCAAGTTAAGCAAATGAAAGATGGCACGTTCATTTTCCAAACTAAATACTGCAAGGAGCTCCTAAAATGGTTTGAAATGGACAACGCCAAATCCATGGCGACCCCGATGAGCACGTCTGATCATCTTGACAAAGACGAGAAAGGTAAGGAATTAGAGCTCAAAAAGTATCGAGGTATGATCAGGTCCCTTCTTTATCTTACTGCTAGTAGGCCGGATATTATGTTTAGCGTTTGCCTTTGCGCAAGGTATCAATCGTGTCCGAAGGAATCGCACTTAATGGCGGTAAAACGGATTATGAAATATCTTGCTGGCATGGTAAACGTTGGACTGTGGTATCCAAAAGGCTCTTCTTGTCATTTCGTTGGCTATTCTGACTCGGACTTTGCCAGTTGCAAATTAGACCGTAAAAGTACGAGTGGGACTTGCCACTTACTTGGTAGCTCTCTAGTCTCATGGTTTAGTAAAAAGCAAGTCAGTGTTGCGTTATCCACAACCGAAGCGGAATATGTAGCCGCCGGTAGTTGTTGTTCTCAAATTCTTTGGATGAAGCAACAACTCGTGGACTATGGCCTTAGTACCAATCACGTCCCTCTTCGTTGTGATAATACTAGCGCCATAAGCTTGACGAAGAACCCCGTTCTTCACTCAAGGACGAAACACATTGACATTAGGCATCATTTCATTAGAGATCATGTTCTCAAAGGTGATGTCGAAATTGAGTTTGTTGAAACACACAACCAATTAGCCGACATTTTCACAAAACCTTTAGGGAAAGAGTCGTTCTTCCGCATTCGAAGCGAACTCGGAATCCTTGACCCCACGATGATCTAAGTTATGCATCTAAACTTATTAAACGCTTACTAACTTGAGCGTCGAAGAACTTTTTTCTTTTTTTGCAGGTACCCCGTTCATGAAATCAGGGGGAACCATGCAAACAGCGCTGTCCAGAAGACCAAAGAGCGCTGTTGAGAGAAACACCGTCAACCAGTTTGTGCCAACAGCGCTGTACAACACGCCAACAGCGCTGTCCCAGGGAGTCCCTTACTCTTCACTTTCCGGAAACTTTTTGAACATCGATGTTCCTTCCTAAAACATCGCTATCCACCCAAAACACCTTGTTTTCAACCAAAACCAGAAACTTTTTTAACAGTGATGTCCCACTTTCAACATCGATGTCCACTTTTACAAATTTTTTTTCTATTGTAAAACAGCGATGTAGAGAAACCCAACAGCGCTGTTCTAATGGGTTCAACCCCTTACACAATTCCAGAATGATTTGGAACATCGCTGTAGGGAACCCAGCATCGTTGTCCATTTAACACTTGTTTTTTAAAACATGACGCATAACAGCGCTGTCCAGAGGCTCGACAGCGCTGTCCCAACAGCGATGTAGCCTTTGGAACATCGCTGTTTTGGATAAATTTTTCAAAAAAAATATATCCGTTGGCACCAGCATTAACTGATCCAACAGCCATATTTTTGAAAATCTGGACGTTGGAGACCTCTTTCTCTATAAATTGGGACCTCCTCTCTTCACTTTTACACACACAAACACAATTCTCTTCAACATCCCTGCTTATTTCATCATTTCTACTCTTTTCTCTTGAGATTTCTTCATCATGGGCAAAGATAAGAACAGGGCAGGAGCTTCCGGCAAATCCAAGGCCAAATCCCGGGCGCCTACGACATCCACCGAGGAACGCCTCTACTATGGTGACGGGTCATACCTTTGGTTTGATTCCGAGGAGGAACGCACCCGTTTCCTCACCTTCTTCTCTAAACGGGTTGTGGCTCCTCCACGGATCATCCCGGAGCGCTACCTGGAGCTGCAGGGCTACGACGACCTCGACGTGCAGCTTCATCAGGCCGGCCTTTGGCCTTTCGTCTCCCGGGCTCGGAAGGAGATCAACTCGGCGCTAATTCGGGTCTTCTACTCCAACCTCCGGCGTGAGGGCGACGTGCTCTACTCTCTTGTCAAGAGCATGCCGATAGAGCTTTCAATTGAGCAGCTTGGGCGCATCGCCGGCCTCCCCTACCAAGGCGACGACGTCTCCCACTATGGCGGAGAGGACTGGGTGCTCAACAACGAGGGCCTTATCCTCAACGAGCTTGGCATCACCGAGCTCATCCGCCATGCCTCGGGCCGCCCCACCATCCACTCCGCTAACCCCGAAGGCCGTCTTCTTCTCTACATCGTGTCCCGAATCCTCAAGCCCCGGAAGCATGGCCACACAATCATGTCCGGTGAGGACCTCAAACTCATCCATGCGATCATGCACTCGGCCCCAATCAATTGGGCAAAGTTTGTCATGATCAACATGACGATTGCCGCGTCCACCGACCACGATCACCTCCTCCCGTACCCGTTCATGGTTATGGACATCCTTGAACGGTTCAAGGTGACCACCACCGTTTGCCCACTCATGAAGGCCACGAAGATTCGGGCGATCAGCACCCAAACCTTCAACAAGCAGTCGGACAACGCCGGACCTGCCACTGCCGTGCCACGGGCCCGTTCTGTTGCTGGCCCAGCCGAACCCCAGGCCCGGGCCAACCTTGCCTCCATTGCTGACTCCCTCAACCAACTGCACTTCAAAGTTGATGGGATGGATGGCTACCTTGAAAGACTTGACGAGGCGGTCCAACGCCAAGGGTACGCCATGAACGCGTACGTCCCCCCACCGTACCATGGCACGTTCTTTGGGCAGGTGTACGGTGACGAGGACGAAGACGATGCCTCCTACGACCCGTCAAGCTCCCCGGACGAGGACAAGTTCAACGACGCCGTTGACAGTGATGAGATGGACGTCGACGACGACGAGGAGGAAACCGAAGACGAAGACTAGGACGCCCCTAGAATTTCTCTCTTTTATTTTAATTATCCTGTTTTTTTTAATGCTTCCGTTGTACTCCGCTATTTCCATTTTTCAATAAATAAAAGTTATCCTCTATCTTTTTGTTATTGTCAAAAGGGGGAAGAAAAGGGTTATGCATACACTAAGGGGGAACGTCCCTAAAAACAGGATCGTTTGATTTTAATATGACAATTTCTTTTTTTTAAGCACAAATTAAGGGCGTTCGAACCAACCAAGTGGTTTTCAACTTTTAATGATTAGTTTTTACTTCTGGGCATATTTAAATAGTTCTCCAACAAAAACGCTTCAAAAACCACTTTCCGTTTTTGGTCGTTTAGTGAAAACCATGCGAAACGGCACGAACTTGGTTAGTCGTGGTCTTCAACTAAATGACGTGGTTTTTAAAATGTTTTACTTGATTTCTTAGCAAAATGCAATAAACAAATCTTTTCAATACTTGGTTTTTACTTTGGAGAACTTGTGTTTTTGACATCGGCTAACGGCGTGACTAAACCAACCATGGGTCTGGCTAAACCAGCCCAACAGCGATGTGGAGGTAACCAACATCGCTGTCTGGCTTGGGTAGCAAAAAACATGGTTTGGCATTAAGTCCTCCAACATCGATGTTGGACATTAGACATCGCTGTTGAGCCAAGGTTGGATTTCCAGAAACTTTTGGAACAGCGATGTAGGCTTCCCTACAGCGCTGTCCAACCTAAGCCAAAGATATTGTGCATTGGCAGAAAGTTTTTGGACAGCGATGTTGACCCAGAAACAGCGCTGTCAGGCCAAACTTCCATCTTCAAAGGCAGACCTAAACAGCGATGTTCTAGTATAGAACATCGTTGTAGAGACCTGACCGTTGGAAGGGATTTAAGGCTAAAACTTTCCTTGTTTGGAAGTCAACAGCCAAAACAGCAATGTAGGGATTTTAGACAGCGCTGTTGGCATGACCGTTGCTTCCCATTTTTCAAAACGCAAGCCTAGAACAGCGATGTCCAAGCCTAGGACAGCGCTGTCTGGGTGAATTTCAACAGATCCAAATTTCATCAAATCCCACAAATTGTGCCAATCACCCCTTAAATACTTTGGTCCGTTGGAGCCTATTTTTCTACTATAAAATGGGGTGTTTGGGTCTGTTTTACAAAAAAAAGACATTACTTCACAACTCCTACTCTTTCATTGCAAATCATTCTTCAATTATTCATAGCTTTTGAGAGCCATTCTTTTGTGAAGCTTGTGTTGTGGTCTTGAGCGTTCTTAGTTTACTCATTATCCACTCTAAAAGAGAGTATTGTTCTTGAGTGTTTTTAGTGTTCTTAAACACTTGACAAGAGAAGGTATTTCTCTTGTTGTTCGAAGGAAGGGCTGTTTCCTTCGAAGGTTCGTTGAGGTTCGTGTGACTCGAATTCTCAAGTTGTACGGCTTTGTTAAGCACCGTTAAGCTTAACGAGGTAGTAGTGTAGCTCGAGAGAGTCTCTCGGGAGGCTGGATTAGCCACAAGTTGTGGTGAATTAGGGTAAAATCGGTGTGCCTCTTACTCTTCTCTTTACTTCTCGTTTATTCATTTTTTATTCCTGCGATTTTTGATCAAACGCTATTCACCCCCCCCTCTAGCGTTAGTCTCTTATTCTAACACTTTAGGTCACCCCCAATATTCAATATAATTTTTCTTTTTAGAAATATTGTTAAAACCGAGTTGTTGAGATTTCCAATAAAGCTTGTGATATTTCACTCTGTGGTTTGATGTTAATCTTTGGAGACTTAATCAAATTCAGTGATATGGAAAATTGGAATTCTTGATCGGAAATGTCAGAGACAAGGAATTTTCAAAGCAGTTGATTACTTCGAAGATTCTCTAATCCAGAATACTCCATGATAACCGGATGTCTCGCTACAACCCTCTGAAGGCTAAGTCATCCATATAGGAAGACTAGCGAGGATTTCTTTCTCACCTCGAAGTCTAAGAATGACTAATCCGAAATTTTCAGCAAAGAACCGGATGTCTCAAGGAAGACCGGAACTCTCAGAAGCAGACACGTGAGAAAAGACTTAGAAAATTATCTAAGTCTTGACTGAAGAAATTCTACCCTTTGGTAAGGAAAAATCAATCTTTTGATTTTCAACGGCTAGATTGAGGATATTTAAGCTGATTCAAGAACAAATGACTTGAAGACAAAATCTGGACTTCTCAAATTGAAGAGCACGCCCATAATTCCTAAACCAACACAAGAAGACAAACTGAGTACTCCACTCAATAAAGAGCTACAGTCCAGAATTCTTGAACAACAACTAGATGACGGATTCTGTGGAAAAATGAATCCCTCTTCAAACAATTGGGTATGTCCAAACACCCATTCCAATGAAGAATCCTCAATCACACTCTTCGTTCAAATTGAAGACCAGCAAATGCAACAAATAGTCTATTCCCTTCAACGGATAGATTATCCAATCCAGCTATATATAACTTCCATGGAAGACTGGAGAAAAACACAAAAATGAGATAGAACAATTCAACAACCTCAATATAGAACTGAGCAAACCAATACGATCAAAGCTATCTCATTCACAGTTAGCCAAAAAGCTTGATAAAGAGAGATTTGTAAACTCCTTATCAAGAAGCAAACTTCTCCTCCTTCCAAAGAGCTATAGTGTAAACACTTGAAGGTTTCCTTGCCTCAAGTACCACACCACGCTGAAGGATACACCTTTTAATCAAACTTCTTGATTAAAAAAGGGGGTACATAAACTTTTCTACAAGTTGATCTTGCAAGTCCTATTGTTTGGATCTTGCAGTTGTTGAAGAAGCGTGACCTTCGAAGGAACAACAAAGCCAGCACGTGTGCAGTAGCAACATTGGCCTTGCGAAGATATACCGTGCAGAAATTCAATCAAGTGTAATTGTTGGTTCATTATTCAACAACCAACTACATAGTGGATTTTGAGGACGTAGAAGGATTACCCCACCTTCGAACCTCGTTAAAGTTTTCATGTCTCTCTCTTTTATCTTTACTTATACTTGCACTTATATTAACTGTGAAACTAACCCATCCATATTGATTACTGCTCTAATCACCCACCAACTTCTGCACACAATCTAAGGTTCACAAGAACTCTAGATTAACACTCATTTTTAAAGTTTTCAAAAGAAACGAAAAAGGTTTTAAACTTGTAACAAAGTCTATGCACCCCCCCTCTAGACTTTGTATCTCACCACTTTAGGACCGCCAATTGGTATCAGAGCACACTTCTCACTATCTACATTTAGATCAAAGAGAAGCGATCATAATGGTGAAGAATATGGATCACGGTTTGCCCATGTTTTATGTTTTAGGTTATGATGATTGGAAGATCATGATGGAAGCACACCTCTATGCTCTACATGATTGCATGTGGATGGTGCTTGAAGATGGACCCTTGAAGATTCAAATGGAGAATCCAGAGAGGAATCCAACAAACCCAGAGGTAGTCCAGTACATTCCTAAGCCCAAGGAGAAATGGGATGATAGAGATTGCAAAAAGCACAATCTGGACAACGTCGCCAAAGCAGCCATCTTCAAGACACTTGATCCCATCACCTTCTCCAAAATCAAGCATCTCAAGACTGCCATGGAGATATGGCAAGGTCTTGAGAGCTGTGTGAGGGATCAGAGGACCTGAGAAAGCAGAAGACAGAGGTTGTGCTAGAAAAATTCAAAAGCTTCAAAATACTTCTCGGAGAATCTTTTGACATGCTGGATGAAATATTCCACAAGATTCTAAATGATCTTGCATCACTCAACCACATTCTTTCTCCCAAAGAAAAGAATGTAAGGTTACTGAGGTCTCTTCCAGCTGAGTGGTACATCAAAGCCACAGCCATGGAAGAAGGAAGAAATCTGGAGAACTATACTATCCAAGGTCTCCTAGATGAGCTCAGAACCTATGAGCATGAGCTGAAGAAGAAGAAGGAAGAACAAGTCACTCCTTTTCCCACGGCGCTGATGACAAATCCCAGAGTCCTAGCAAGCGAAGGGACATGCCCAAGGAGCTCTGACACTCCTTCCTCCAGCCAGCCACCAAGATCAAAGACGGAGAACTACGAAGTGGAATTTGCAATGATGGTCAAGCAATTCCGGAAGTTCAAGAAGTTCTTCAAGAAAGCTGACTCAGTTAGAAGGCCATCTTAGGGAAAGCTACAGGTAAGTAACTCCCTCCTGAATCTTTTTTGTGTTATAACTACAGGAAGCCTGGCCACTGGAAGTTAGCTTGTCTGTACCAAAAAGTGGAGAACTACGGAGAAAGAGAAAGAAACGAGAAGAAGAAGAAGAAGGCAATGGTAGCAGCTGAAAGTGAAGAGTCATCCAGTTCAAGCTCGGATGAAGAAGCCCTCGTCTGCATGGAGCGCAGAGCTGAGAAGTCCAACCGTGAGGATTGGTGGACTATGTCTGAAGATGACACTCTCTGCCTAATGGCCAAAGATGATGCTGACCAAGAGGTAACTTCACAAACCTCCTATTCATCTTCTTACGAAAGCATACCAACTTCTGAAAATCTTTTTGACAAGTTCAAAAAGATGATGGAAGATTTTGAGGAAATAAATCTCAAACACTCATCCTTAACAGAGGAGAACAAGCTATTGAGTGAAGAGAATCTCAAGTTGACTAAAGGTCGGAAAAGTCAACTAAGTGAGATCATCAACTCAAGGCTGAGAATGAGTCTCTTTCTGAAAAGGTAAAATCCCTCAACAAGGAGCTAGGGATATTAAAGTCTAAAGAAGCTGTGGATAAGCTTATTGAAACGACTAAGCATAAGGGTCGTGTAGGACTTGGGTATGACCCCTCCAGTTCCAAAAGGAAAGGGAGAACAACATTCATTCCTCTCAAACCTACTGCCAAACCCAATAAGCAGAAAGGTAAGGAGAAGGAAAAAACCAACAGAAGTTCCTAAAAAGGTAGTGTTAGTCGGTTTAGTCGTTGTGCCCACGCCTTAGAGGGGGGGTGAATAAGGCGTTTTAAAATCTTTTCGGAGTTTAATAAAAACGATGTTGGCAAATGCGGAAGCAATATATAAAACGCAGAAATAAAAGCGTAAATAAAATGCACACCGATTTTATACTGGTTCGGGAACTCCCTACTCCAGTACCTCGAGGCTCCTCCTCAAGGATTTCCGAATCCACTAAGTCCCGGTCTCTTGAACTCCGTCAAAGCACCGCACTAGTTTGGCAAACAACCCTTGCTAATAGGATTCACTCCGAGATTTCACCACGGCTATCTCGAACCGTTTACAATGAAGATTTAACGGCTATCTTCTACCGTTCCCCCAAGGATTTCAAAGGCTATCCTTGAACCTTTACCCAAGGATTTATACGGCTATCCTTAACCGTTACAACGTGAGAATTTGACGGTTATTCTCGACCGTAGGAAGATGTGTTTGAAGAACACAAAAGTAGATTCTACACAACGGCTAGAATATTAAAATGAAGAACAAAACTTAGCCGGTGTAGAAGGAAAGTATACTCTCTCAAAAATACAATTCAAACTTATGAATATGAGAGTATATAACTAGAAACACAAGCTCAAAGTGTGTTTATAAAAATCAGGAAGTTAAGGCTCTTGAAATAGCCAAAATATTGAAAATAATTAATAAACGAATGAACACACTTAGAATATAAAGGGAGGATGTTTAGATCTTTGTTTCTTGAAGAAATATGAAGGATTAGGCTTGTATTTATAGTGGAAGATGTTAATTAGCCGTTGGGAGGTGATTAGGATTGATTAAATTCAAAATCACAAATCAGGAACAGTAATCCAACGGTCACGGTAGGGGGGTCCCGTCCATACGGTAGGGGGGTCCCGTGCTTACGGTAGCTAGGTTCCTTCTCAGGCCAAAACTCTCTGGCGGTACCTATCTTAGTACGGTACCCCTTACGGTAGGGGGGTCCCGTGCGTACGGTACCTAGGTACCTTATGACCATTTTGACAATTTTTTTATTTTTTCCAAATCATTTCCAATTTTGTTTAAAACCTTTTGGATGTTTGAAAATGATTATAAAAGGGTTTTAAACATGTTTTGTGAGTGTTTTTGAGCTTGTGAATATAGGTATATAAAATCATATCCTTACATTGGTTTCTACCTATATTCTACGCTAGTTTAGTGTTTCGACTTCATTCTTGAGTACCGAATCTTAATGGATTCTTGTTTTTCCTGAAACACTTAAACAAACGTTAAGCTCTTATATTGTTTGTTAACATCAAAACATGAGGCTTAGCAAACCAAGGCTAACA